TATATTTGATTTCCTATATATACACCAACCTGAAATTACTGATTAAAATTCATATTTTGTAAAATATCTCTTCTTGACTTTTGTTCATTATTTTGCTTGGTCTTACATTTTTTGTTTGTAAGAGCTCTTTATATATAAAAGATACTAATTCTTTACAGTGTTTCTCCTTATTATTTCTAATTTTACTTGGTGTCCGTGAAGTAGTTTCCTTCCATTATGTCATATGTTTTTGGTTGAGTTTATTTCTGGGAATTTTATTCTGATCTCTTTCTGGTGCTGTTTTTGGTATAAGAAACCTTAAACTCAAAAGATAGGTCTGGGCAGGGAATTTTTTTATACTGTCTGAATTTAAAGCAATTAGCATATCCAGAGAAGTGTATGCCTTTTTTTTTTTAATTCTCTATTAAAAGGAGTTCCAGAAATGAATTCTCACAGGAATAAAATAACCCAGCTTATACCTCAGCTTCCATGGAGATACTCAGACATATTATAAGAGAAACAAAACATTTAACATATACCAGGGAGCTTAAGAAACCTGTGGTAAGGCACTGAAACAGTATAGAAATAGATAATATTTATTTGCTTTACTTTGTTACAGCAAATTTCAAGCATATGTAAAAGCAGAGAGAATAGGGTGATGAACCCCCATGTACCCATTTCCAGATTCGACTATTATTCACACAGGGCCAGTCTTATTTCACCTGTACCCCCATCCACTTATCACTTTTGAAGCAAATCCAAGAGATCATGTCACTTAATCTGTAAATATTTTTGTAACACTATAACATTTAAATATTTCTTGTTTTAGATCTGGGATTCCTACTTTTACCTTGCGGTCATTTTTATAAACCAGTTGTGTCTGCAGTTAGAGATGTTCACACCTTCCAAAAAGAAAAAGGTGTTAGAAAAGTAAGTATCGGTGTATAATTGGGTGGGGATATGAGGCAGATCAAATGTTGTGCTTTTAAAAGGGTGTTTAGTTCAAATGATTTGTAAATCAGATGTCCATACTGGAAATGACAATGGAGAAGCAATGAGCAAGAGGACAAGAAGCACTCTTTTCTGGATATTTTGAACTTACTTATACTTTTATTTGGGGAGAGCGGAGCTCCATCTTTCAGGAATCAATATATTATAGAAGCAAATGAAATAGAGGACAAATCTGTTTTATTAAAGGATTTATACAAGGATTTGCATTAGAAGCATCAAGACATCTACATTAAGCATCTTAATTACAAACATAGTGTCTTTTAATTCAGAAGAGACATAAATACTTCTCTATTCCAAAAAGACACAAATACTTCTTTGTTTTGAAGGTTTTGTATCAGGTTTGCTTTTTGTTTTATTTCAGGTATGGTGACATGCGCGTCACAATGGGTTGTGAAATTTTTAGCATGTGGCAAAACCTAGGTAAGTAATGGAAAGAGAAGCTACCTCCATTGTACAGTTTATCACTGTACTTTTAACTGTATAAGTGAAGGTAGGCAACTTACCAGTGACAGTGTCTGAATCCAAATGTTTAAATTGGTAAAGTCATCCATAGAAAGTAATTGATATTTTGGCATTGAATATGGTTATAACTAATTTTTAAATTGGTATCTGTCTGAAAAATCACCTTACCTTTGTGTATTTCATTATTAATGAATAATGAATTTTATAATCTAGCATTGCTCCAATAATACACACATTTTTAGCAATGAGCTAACCTTTCAGAATTTGGGATTGTAACAACTCAAAATTTCTAGAACTCTGAATTGAGTCTATGAATCATAACAGATTTAGAATTACCTTCACGAAACATTGACTTGTGCACCGGAACTCTTAAAAACACCATGGACCTATATCATAAAGAGTATACCCAAAGGATTTTAAAGCCTCTGCAGTTGCTAAGAAACTATTAGATTCAATTTTGTTAATCTGACACAGCAGATAGAGCACACTACTCCAGCAAATTGATGACCCAGACCTGTTTGCATGGAAAAGAATAATATTTGGAAAATAAATTGTTTTACAATCTCACTGGCATAGGGTTTCTTTCTAGAGATTCCAACTTATTTAATTTTGTATGCTAACTCTGCAAGTTTATAGTATTCATTTACTATTACTGCATTGTAAACTTCTTGTGATTCATTAAAGTGATGGGCCTATTTGAATTGAGTATGTAATGACCTAATATCTTTTCTCATGGGCTTCATCCAAGCACAACTTGTAAATAGCAGGATTTGTTTTCTGTAAATGAAAATAGAACCATTATCATTTTACTTCAGTTTATTTACAGAATGATTTTTGACCAGGATCTGTATATATACATAGCAATATTCATAGCAATTTGAGGAAGAACCTTGTTACATATAATTGAGCCCAGTGTTCAGTGCTTGCTGGTAATTTCAGGGGAAAAAAAAAAAGTGAGTTAGCATCTTGAAAGCAACCTCCAACTGTCAGGCCAGCCAGAAGAAGTCCATGATGTGTCTTTAGATTCAGCTCAAAAATAGCATTAGTTTGTTTTATTTGAAGAGTACTCCTTTCAGTCTTTATGTTTTGTTCATTCTTTGTTTTTCAAAGCCCTGTAGTGTCCACATTACATTTGGCATTAGTTTAACAAGATGTTGTTATGTCAGTACTCTTTAGAACATTGGTTCTGAAATAGGCAGGCAACAGTAGCACCTGGGAGCTTGTGAGAAATGTAAATTATCTGGCCGCACCCCAGACCTACTGAGACAGAATCACCTAGAGAGTGGGACACAGCTGAGTTTTCACAGGTTCTCCAGGTGGTTCCTGACTAAAGATTGAAAAGCACTGCTTTAGATACTCTCCCCTTTCTCTGTTTTCCTAGCCCTAGAGGCTAGCTCTAGCTCAGTTCTGGCAATCTGTTAGAAAAGGCTCATTATACTCAATGACGAATTCCCAGCATGACATAGTTCAAATGCAGGGTGAGTGTAAATTTTCACTTCATTCCTTGGTTTTTGCATTATTTCCCTAGAGTTGTGTCCTGACTTTTCTGAGACTTCCAAAACAGAAGGTGAATGTTAAAGGTTACCGCTATTGTACAATAACTAGAATGGGAAAGTGTTCAGAACTGTTGAAACCTCTCTTCCAACATATATTTTTACAAAATGATAGGAAAAATTAAGTGTTCAGAGTACTGTTTTAACACGCTTTATAGACCTTAAGTCAGCTTGTTACTTAGGAATATGAAAATATATTTGTTATAATTTGGTTTACCTATAAATATGTCACGTTGAGTATTTTGAATGCTAAAGAAGAATTTATTCAGGTAATTACAGATGAGCATTTCTTAATGGAACAGGCCAATAAATTCAATTTAACATAGTTCATGAGGCACTGGCTCTGTGCACGTTATTTGGAGACATATAAGAAAAAATGGTCCATACCTGTACAGAGCTTAGTTTTTATTTTTTAAAGATTTTATTTATTTATTTATTTGACAGAGAGAGATAGCGAGAGAGGGAACACAAGCAGGGGGAGTGAGAGAGGGAGAAGCAGGCTTCCCACGGAGCAGGGAGCCCGATCGATGCAGGACTCGATCCCAGGACCCTGGGATCATGACCTGAGCCGAAGGCAGACGCTTAACAACTGAGCCACCCAGGCGCCCCCAGAGCATAGTTTTTAAATCTCATATTTTTTGTCTGATTTCTGTGGAACAAAAAAGTCTTGATAAAAACGAATCATCATGTTTTAATAAAGTAAGCTTTATGACTTCAGAAATCAAGAGCTTCAATAGTTTTTGGTAGATATAAAAAACACTAACTTTTAAGAAAACAAATTGCAAAAAGGAAATAATACTCAGAGTATTGAATACAGAGGAAATAATACTCGAGTACTGAATACATTTTTTGCCACTTGAAACTACCCAGTTAGTCTAATACACAAACACAAACACAAATTTTACTGAACAGTATTTTTAAATCAGATTTTGGTCATCAGTACTTACCTAGAAGTGTGGAAACTCTTGCATATACTCGAAACAGGTTGGTTTTTCCATTCTGTGGAGAACAAGGAATAAAGGGTGCATGTAATTGAGTCTGCTTTTAAGCACAGAGCTGTATGATTTTCAAATCTGATCATTATATCCCCTAGATTTACCTTTGAGCAATGGATCATGTAGTAATTATAGGTTTAATTTTTTGAGGAACTGCCATACTGTATTCCACAGTAACTACACCATTTTACATTCCCATTAACAGTGCACAAGGGTTCTGGTGTCTCCACATCCTTGCCTACACTTGCTCTTTTCTCTCTCTCTCTCTCTCTAAAAAGAGAGAGATAGCATGCGCATGTGGGTGTGAGCTGGGGGGCGGGGCGGTGTGGGCAGGGCATGGAACAGAAGGAGAGGAAGAGAGAGAATCTTAAACAGGCTCCACACCCAGCACAGAGCCTGATGTGGGGCTCAATCCCACAACCCTGAGATCAGGACCTGAACTGAAATCAAGAGTCAGATGCTTAACTGACTGAGCCACCCAGGCGCCCCTCCTTTTTTTATTTTTTTTATTTTTTTTATTTTTTTTGTTTAGAGGCATTTTATTTAGACAACTAAAACAATTAGATGTTCAGAAGCAATGTACAATGAAAGAGAAATCAAACCATTACTTTATCATGTATTCCCTCTTCTTTACAACTAAAGCAAAAAAAAAAAAAAAGGCTTTCTGCTTTAAGGGAAAAGTCAGAAAAATAGGCCAATATATTTTTCTTCTCCATAATAACATAAACAGCTACAAGAAATCTAACTGTAATAAGAGAAATTGGATGTTGGCTTGCACATTCATTAAAAAGACAACAGGCCATCATACCACAAGAGCCTAATTCCACCTACCTTCATCTGATACTCTTGCCTTTTCACGTACAGGTAACACCAAGTTAGTTCCAGCACTGGAGCTAATTCACATTCCCCATTATTTACTGCTCATGTTTGCCTTAAGCAGAGAGTAACTCTGGGAGGCTGATGCTTTTCTCTGCTTGCTTGTTTTAGTCCATAACTTGTACATTATCTGTGGCATATGCCCAATGCTCAGGCCTTCACTTCAGGAGTTGAACTATAGATGGAATCTGAATTCTCTGAAGCAGTTTCTTCTAGCTCCTCTTCTGTTGTCTCTGGAAAACTGATCTTTGGCTTTGCCAGCTCACCACTGTCTTCTTCAGGAAGTACACATTTCCAAAGGCCATATGTTTTTCCTACCACAGTTTGCCATAGTCTCAGTGTTCCATCTTCAGAACCACTGGCATAGAGTTCTCCATCAGGACTAAATCTCACACAGTGAATAGGACCAAAGTGTCCTTTGTAGGATTCTAATTCTTCTCCACTATTATAATCATACTTGTAAAGTTTAAAGTCTTCACCACCTGCAACAAGAAATTCTTTCTCAGGATGAAGAGATGCAGAATTGATGGTTGCAGGAGCTTCAGAGGACTTAATTGGGTCCAAACTTACTGCACTATGAAAAGCAATAGATCGTCCATAGGTTATTACCAAGATCTCTCCCTCAGGAATATATTCCATACTGCTAACAGACATATTAAAAGTTAGAGATTTCACTTCTGTCATGGTAGCATGATCCCAAAGGCGGACAGTTTTATCATCAGCTGAAAGAATCTGTTTATCCTCACTGCACCATAGAGCTTTTTTAATACCAGAGGTGTGACCGCTGATTTCCTTAGGTTCTGCTTCAGGCTTGTTCAAATCATATATGCGTCGTTTGTCCTGTCCCCCGGTTAACAAGTAATTACTCTCCTGCGTAAAATCCACGGTCTTGACAATGTGTTTATGAGCCAGGGTCATCAGTTTATCTCCTGAGACAGCATCCCACACTTTGGCAGTGAAATCTGCAGCTGCTGTAGCTGCTTTGGTGGCATCCTTATTCAATGTCGCGCCCCAAACAGCACCCTTATGACCCAAAAATGTTCCAATCCAGTCTCTGGTATCTCCCTGGCGTAGCATAGGTTTCCCGTCTTTGCAAGCGCTGATTAAGAAATAGCCATAAGGGGCGCCTGGGTGGCTCAGTTGGTTAAGCGACTGCCTTCGGCTCAGGTCATGATCCTGGAGTCCCGGGATCGAGTCCCACATCGGGCTTCCTGCTCAGCAGGGAGTCTGCTTCTCCCTCTGACCCTCTTCCCTCTCATGCTTTCTATCATTCTCTCTCTCTCTCAAATAAAAAAATAAAATCTTTAAAAAAAAGAAAAAAAGAAATAGCCATAGGGGCGTGATGCCACTGAAGGCCAAATGGACCATATGCCGCGTGTGGCCGAGCAGGTGAGCGGCGTCTGCCTCATTGCCATGGCGGCGGTGAACCGAGCGATCCGGATGTGGAGCCGAGGGTCGTCTTGTCTTTTCTTTCCTCTGCCGCAGAGCCTCTGGCTCAAGGCCCCCGCCCTGACACTGGGGGTTGGGGCTGGGCCGAGAAACAGGGAAAAGAGGCCAATCGAGTAGCACCGAGGTCAGGAAAGGGTTGGGGATGGGTCAGGGAGTCTGCGACGGGCGACCGACAGCCGCCAAGGGAGGGAAAGGGAGGGCGGGAGGAAAGTAGGGGAGGGGGAGAACCGGAGAACCGGCGGCCACGACCCGCACCGTCTGTTTTTTTATTTTTTGACAGTAGCCATCCTAACAGGTGTGAGGTGACATTTCCTTGTGGTTTTGATAAAATAATGTACTTTTGAAGAGTAGAGATCAAGCAGTGAAAAGTAAATACCTTTTCTTAAATGTGTTTTTCCTCAGTATTTTCATTTCCAAGTGGAAGGACTAAAAATGCCCTGTCAAGAGAAGGGGGAAGGCATAGATTCCCCCCAAATTTTACACATTAGTACTATGCTTAGAGGAATAGTCTGCAAAGAAAGAGGCTAGTCTTGACTACTGTGTCCTACCTTTGGCATTCATTGTGCTTCAAGAATAAGCTTTTTCTTGCTATTTTTAGTTGAACTAACATTCTTACTAAATATAAAGTGGGCTTTTTTTTCCACATTTGCAAACATAGTGTCTTGTAACTGCCATAGAAAAATCAATACTTCCTTAACAGGCCGTTTTGTGCTCATAAATATAAAACTTCAGCAGCCCAAGTAGCAGATGCCCTAAATACTTCAAAACAAGACCATGTGGCTGACAATTAGAGATGGAGAAAGTATACTAAATCTTCAGTTTAAAAAGAAATCATTTAAGTAAAGTTTATTTTGCTGTTGTCATACATAGCTCAAAATTTTGCTTTGCTAATCGAGGAGAAATTAAGTTTTCTCTGGTGAGAGTCTGTTCAGGTTTATGCAGGTTCTGTGTTCCCAAACTATGTTTTCAGTAAATAAGGCTATCTTCATGCTTTCCTGTACAGTGACTTAAAAATAGGTGTGGCCTATCGACTGTCAGTAACAAATAAGGCCATAAAATGTAGTGTAAGGACTTTGTTTGGATTATGATTGAAGGAAACCACTTGTAAATGACATGTTTTAGGACAATCAGGGAAATTTTAATAGGGCTGAGTTTTATTTTATTTTTTTACTTTATTTTTTTTTATTAACATAATGTATTATTTGTTTCAGGGGTACAGGTCTGTGATTCATCAGTCTTACACAATTCACAGCGCTCACCATAGCACATACCCTCCCCAATGTCTATCACCCAGCCACCCCATCCCTCCCACCCCCCACCACTCCAGCAACCCTCAGTTTGTTTCCTGAGATTAAGAGTCTCTTATGGTTTATCTCTCCCGCTGGTTTCATCTTGTTTCATTTCTCCCTCCCTTCCCCTATGATCCTCTGTCTTGTTTCTCAAATTCCTTATATCAGTGAGATCATATACTTGTCTTTCTCTGATTGACTTATTTCACTTAGCATAATACCCTCTAGTTCCATCCATGTCGTTGCAAATAGCAAGATTTCGGGTTTTTTAATGGCTGCATAATATTCCATTGT